TAATAGTGCCTATAGTAGTATAAATAAGTTAAGTAAGTCTAGTTAATAATTTATAGACTTAAACTAAGAATAATAAAAAGGATTCTTTATTATTAAATATACTACCTAGTCTTCTAAATAATAAGAATCTTAAAGCCTAAGTATAAAACCTTAAAGTTAATAAAAACTTAACTATCCCTTGTTGCCTACTGTATTTAGCTTTATAAGGTAACCTAGATATACACTATTACTCTTAAGAATCCTTTATAGACTAGTATATTAACTAATAAAAATAGACTAAAGCTAATACCTTTAACTATATATATTATTATAGCTTCTCTTATTTACCTTCTTAGGAAAGTTAATTTTAATTATACTAAGGACTTAAATAAGATAAAGTTAATAAAAAGACTTTATAGACTTCTTATAGTATAAGAGGTTATAAACTTAGATATAGTAATATTATTATAAAGGTAAAAGTAAAGAAAGGTCCTAAGCTACTAAAGCAACTTAAACGCTACTATAAGCACTAAACTATTTCTCTTTTTTCTTTCTTTTGTTTCTTTAGGTTCTTTCTTTAGTTCTTAGGTCTAAGAATTAGTTAGACCTTTTACTTAAGGTTAAGGTAATAGGTCTAAAGGGATAATTATAATAAGGTTAAGTAGTATAGTCCTAAGAGTTATATAGTAGTTAATACAAGGGATAAAATAATAAGAAGACTACCTACCTATTAAAAAAAGGATTTATAGACTTAAGAAGGGATTAGAGGGAATATAATTATTTATATATAGTTATTATTACTAGCCTTAATACTCTATATAGAAATATACTACTAGTTATTACTATACTTTTATTTATTTAAGGAAATTTACTCTTTTTATAATTGCTTTATTAATTTATACTTTTATTTTAGTATCTTTGTAGATTAGGTCTAAGAATTACAAGACCTATTAATTAATCTATATATTATTATTATTAGACGTTGTTGTAGTGTAGGTAGTTTTCCTATGTTTTACTATTCCTCTTTTCCTTTGTTAGGTAGCCTAGATGCCTTGCCCTTTCTTAATATAAGCTTATATAAGACTATATATATTATATAGAAAATATAACTACTTAATATAGTAAATAATATAGCTATTTATAAAGTTTTAAGCTTATACTACTAGTAAATACTAAGTTATAGCTAATAATAATTTACTAGTATTTTAGTATATCTTTATATAAAGCCTTATATCTTAAGTTATACTAATAAGAATATAATAAAAAACCTAGTATAGTAAAAGTAAGTATATAACTAACTATAGAAATTTTTATAGAATTAAAGAAGCTAGGGTTATACTATTATAGCTATAGTAAAAAGGAGTAGTTTTAGTGTATTTTAGTGTATTTTAGTGGGGAATAGGTGATCGCCAAGCGGGGGTGATCGGAAAGCGGGTGCTTTAACTTAACGGGGAAGCCCCAATGACGAGGAAAACTACAGTGCAATTGCTTGTCAGTTTGTATAGTACAGTTCACTGTTGATGCTGCAGACTTTTCAATCCCAATAACTGCCCGGTTCTCCCAGTGCCGATGCTTATAGAAATATCCAAGCTGTCGTGATATAGGCCGTAATTGCGCAGTGGCAATTACGGATCCGCTTTTGTCATCACACAAGCTTAAAAACTTTAGGGCTCTCTGAGGCAGATCTTTCCCCCGGAATGACATTCGTCAGAGAACTCACTGAAAAGACCTAATCCGAGCAGCATCAGTTATCACAGGAAGAAATACTTTTTGCCAGAAACAATGGCGTCTTTAAGTCATTTTATAATCTACAGAGGCTTTTGGGAAGTGGTCTATCAGCTAGCACAAATTCAGCTGCCGCTTTTGCAATTCTTTCATCCAGGGTCTCACTCATGAGTAATTAAGACATCGTGGTTAAACTTAGCTTAATACCTCAATCGACGATAGAAAGATCCTGTATAATGTGGAAGAAAACATGCGTTATAATACCATTTCAATCGCTTACCATTGGCGGTTAACAAACCTGGTATCTTATCATAGCCGCTTCCATTGGTGGAGCTCTCGCCATGGCTACCTTGCATACTAAGGGCCTTCCTGGAAGGGTGATCTTGTTTGGTACTCCTGCCGAAGATAGTAAGCTATCTCCAGTCTACTCGTCTAATCCATGTCTCTAGGTCTTGGTGGTAAGGTCGAGTAGCTCGAAGCAGGTACTTTCCGTGACCACAGCATCAATATCTCTCTCAACCCCCACCCCACAGCTAGCGACAACACACCCTACGTGATTACATCCTCTACCTACCATTTCGAGTTAGAATAGTACGGAAAGGAAGCAATTCTGCTACCTAGCTTTGGAAGGGTGTCAATACCCAAGATGCACTTTTACTCGCTCATAGAGGCTTTGCCCTACTCTGCTAACAGACACAGCCGACGGGCAAGATCAACACATCATTACTTCAAATAATGCGGATAATGTCTTTTATGCTCTGGGACAGGTATACTTTCAGATCTGATCCGTTGACGGCGATACCCTCGAGCAGTGAGCGGAGCGTGTCATGAAGTGTTTCGATGCTGAGACCCGAGCCACGGGTGCCTAACTGAATGTCAACATAAGGCCATAGAAATATTCCAATATGGTATTCAATGACGTGCTAGCCTAATCCGGTAGACGGTGAGAAACGGAAGATCAAGACTGTAGAAGGATCACTCATAACATAATAGTTTATATCTAGACATAAGGCTTAGCTTGCGCCGTCTTGTATAACGTCCATGCCTTTATTGCAAAAATTCATAAAACAATAATGTAAGTGTATGGCTCTCAACATAAGTTAAGGCCAGTTGAATGGGTAATTTAGATGAACCTAGCATATCAGGGTCAGTGCTAGGGCATGCGCTGTAAGGTGCATGTGCTGTAGCAGTGCTAGGTGTATTGTATGCGTGATAAATTGGACTAGTCAGCTCTGCAATAGTCTTACGCCGCGTATGATCTATATTCTTTTGTTCCCTCCTAGGCTCCTATCCTTACTCGGAAATTCCAATATGGATCACGTGGTCATCACTTGTCGTCAGTAAAGCAACTGACTACTGCCTGACCAAGTACCACCAGGGAGTAGCGGCATTACCTAAAAGATTATAAGTGATTAGCCTGAGTGTATTAAATGCGCCATGAAATCATTGGAGACGTGATTCTAAGGTAGAAGTCACAGGCAAAAATAGGGCTTGATGAAGACACCGCTGGCAGCTCGAGGGGTTCTTTGGAGCTTGCAACGCAGCTGTGTAATTAGATACTATTGGAGAAATCAAAGATTCTTTGGGAAGAATTCTCAATGATCAGAATTTCATCAAGCTCTTGCGGTTCACCGAGAGTATGATCCACTGGAGGCGATCCATTCATTGCAGTACCCCGGCTATGAAGCCGACATCGAGTGAATTCCTCCTCCACAACAGTCAACATGAATTAAACACATGAAGAATTCACCGAATATGACAAGTTCATTCACGTCGGTGTCAAAAAGCTTCCGAATACATATAAATACAGCACAGGATGCCAACCAAATTTAAATCTACATCATTACACAATACTCAAAAACACCATCAGCAACATCCACATCAGCTGCCTTCTATCATCAAGCATCTACGCACCCCATAATCTCATACAAGCTTTCACTAACCAGAACCGCATCCAGAATTGAAGCAATGTCTTCTTGGGAGAGCAAGAACGTGAATCCGTTCGAGAACAGCAGCACACCCAACAAGTGGGGCAACACCTCGGGCGGTTGTTCCGAGGGAGATCCAAATGGCCCCACCGGCACTGGAGCCAATGCCTCAAACACCAAAGGCGGGCACAAGGACCAGATATCTGCAGCTTCAGTCAAGGGCGGCAGACCGTCGGGCGGGGGCTATGGCCATCATGGTGGAAGCAAGAAATGATGGTTCACAAAGAAGAAGCCCTAGGCACATATGATAAGACATGGATCTCTTAGTTACATACTTGCATCGCTGGTTTCCCCGAGGAGACTACGAGTTTAGCCTAGTTCATTTCATCAAGTAGCACGCTTAATCAAAGTCAAGACCTGTACGGAGGAGCGTGTCAAAAGTAATGATCCATAGTGCCAAGACTAGAAGTGGGGACTCTAGGAGGGAAGACTTCAAGGTACCTCGTCTCATCAGACTCTTTAGGGACTCTAGAGTGTTAATAAACTATAGCTTTAATCTCTCAGGGGAAACTCGCTTAATGTCTCAGGGGAGATAGGCACTTTAGGTATAGAGCTTAAGAGGTAGGTAGGGAGAAGTATGGTGAGCGTTATGTTCTTATGTACTTCCTTGTACTGATACTGTTGGCTAGGTGATTGTGCTTGAATTGTCTTGGCACTGTGGATCCCTACTTTTGACACGCTCCTCCGTACAAGTGGTGTGATGCAACAACTGTGTTCTCGGCTTTCTCCCGGAGCACTTTCATAGCTCTTTTTTTCTTCTTTTTTTCTTCTTCTTAGCAATGCACAAACGATCCACACTGTTCATCTGGCATGGTTAGAGTACGTATCCAAGACAGTCCCTCTTGAGGTCGCAAAGGTACACAATGACTCCCAACAGAATATAAGGTTTCAAGAAACATAGTACCATGGAGGTATCCGGGGTGTCTAAATACCCTATTGACTGCGTTTGCAGCTGGAAAAAAAAACAAAACAAAAAAGCATTTGGCATGATATGGTGAGATTGCCCTGCTCGGCTGAATCACCATTGGTCAAACCGAACCTCCCTTGTTCCGTACCAAAGATACGGTTGCGTACCAAAACGGGTCCGAGCCGAAAGAGGACAGAGAGAATGGAGTCTATTGAGAGTAAACTGGCCAAACGCACGAGGATCCACCTCGTAAGAACCCCGCTGTGGATGTCAGCCGAACAGCTGAGTTGACGGATTGGCCTAGACATGGAAACCCCTGACTCATGATGGGGTTTTCTAAACCTGATTAATCTTATCAGATGTGTTTTCGAGGCCATGGTTTCTCTTGGCACGCCTAGGTAGCACGCGGCAAAGCTTGGTTGGGGAGGGAATTTTCTTCATGGGCGTTCTCCTTTGCCCTAAGCTACGTTCGCGCCGCTTAACCATTTTCCCTCTATCCCGGCTCGATCCGACCTCGGATTCCGCTCGTAGGGAATTTGCCCGTCAGCGGTGAGTAGTTAAAGGAGCGGGCTGCCTTACGGTAATTAGAATCGACCCTACGTCCCGGTCCCTCTTCATCCTTCATCGCTGCGTTAGACTGCTACTGAACGCCTGGGACTTCTGTGACAATGGCGGCCTGCGCAGATCTCGAGTCCCCTACGGCGAAGCAGCCCGAAGACCTCGTCAACGAGCTTGTGGTGTCGTCAAACTCTTCGACGGCCGAGGAGCCAAAGCCGAACCCCCCAATGCACTGGAAGCTGATTGCCGTGATTCTTATCTCCTGCATCAGTTTCGGGTCATCATGGAGTTCGGGTATCACCGGCGCGCTGAAGTCCACCTTGAAGAAGGAGCTGCACATCAACAACAAGCAGTTTTCGCTGCTCGAGGCCAGCGAAGACTTCATGGTCACCCTTTTGATTCTCTTCAGCGGAATGGTGACGGACAAAATCGGGGGTGCTGGCGCCATGCTGTATGGTGAGTGTGGTTTGATCTAATTATTCCATGAATACAATGGCATGTGTGCTAGAAAGGGGGAGTCTAACGCGATGGCAGGCAACATTATCTACTCAATTGGATCCCTTATTGTCGCTGCCGCCGCCCAAGTCCGCTCTTTCAAGCTCATGATTGCTGGCCGAGTCATCCTCGCCCTCGGCGACATCGCGACCCAAGTGGCGCAGTACAAGGTTTTCAGCTCCTGGTTCTCGCCGAACAACGGCTTCGCTTCGACCCTGGGTCTTGAGCTCGCCATCAAGAAGATTGGCGGCTTCGTCGGCAAATCGTCAGCCAACATCATTGCGAAGAACACCGGCAACTTCGCGTGGGTCTTCTGGATCTCTGTCTTCATGAACGTCTTCACCAACATCCTTACTCTGGTCTTCTACCGTTTCAACGGCATCGCTCACAAGAAGTTCGGCAACATGAAGGATCCGGCGACAGGCGAGAAACTCACCGAGAAGTCCAAAAAATTCCAGCCAAAGCAGGTGCTTGAGTTGCCTTGGGTCCTCTGGGCCGTCCTAGCGTTCTCGCTGTTCGAGACGAGCACCGCTGTAGTCTTTAGCCAAAACGCCACCGAGCTGGCTGAGAAGAGATTCCGTACTGACTCGATCACTGCTGGCTGGTACTCCGCAATTTTGCAATATGCCGGTTTCTTCTTAGTGCCGTGCCTCGGGGCCTTCATTGATATATTGGGCAACCGTATCACATTGCGTAAGTTATTTGCCAGTGCTAGCAACCGAGCCATAATATTAACTATTTCTAGTCGCAATTTGCGGCATCGGAGTATTCCTAGCAATGATCCTGATCAACTGGGTCACTGATACCAAGGGCGCAGCTGCTGCCTTCGCTATTTATGCGGTTGCCTACACCCTTGGGCCTACCACGATCATCGACAGTATTAGAACCTCCATGTGGCATGCGTCGACCTTCGGAACCGCTTACGCCGTCAAGATGGCCGTGAACAATTCGTAAGAACTTGAACCTTGATAAGAATCGCGCATAGTCTAATGGTTTCGCAGTATGAACATCATCGTTCGTGTTGTGACCGGTGTCATCCAGGACGCTGATAACGACAGCTACGACCACGTCGTCATCGTCTATGCCGTTCTTGCCGGTGCATCCGTGTTGGTGTCGATTATATTGATTGCGCTGTCTTGGTGGTCCATTGACCTCGGAAACTTGCAGTGGACAAGGAAACAGCGCATTGCTCATGGTGAGCTGTGGAATGAGAGGAAGAGGGCTTTCTACGAAGACAACGGTCCGCGGAACAAACTCATATCCAAGGCATGCTTCGGTGCACTGATCATGCTGATTTTTGGAGCTTGGGTAGCGTACTTCTGGGGCATCGCAACTGGTCACAACTCTTGAAAGCTCGGTTGATTGACGCAGTAGATTGTTGGAGAAATTTTAGAAGACCTGTGCAGTAATGATATGATCTTCAAAAGATCAGTTGTGACAAGACTAAGAACTACTAGATACAAACGAACAGAAACCTACCGCCTAGGTGGTTTGTATCGGGATTGATTTAGCCATGACATTCCCATTTTGATATTGTAGAGAGAAGAGCAGTTTACCCATGTAATGCAGCCCAACATCTCATACGCCAAGTACAATTGTTCTGTTTATTTCGATTGAAGAGCCCTTTGCACAAATTGAACAGGATGGGAAGGCCAAACAATCAGAGTGTAATTAGTGACAAGTGACTTTCCAGAGGATACATAAGGGTTGATTATCTTGGGGCAAGACAGAAATCAGAGTGGTTTGCATAGTGGTTATTCAAGAGGAGGGCGTTCTTAGCGATTGCGTCGGAAACTCCGCTTAGACCTGGCTTTTCCCACTGCACTTATTAACGATGTCTGTCCGGACCTCACAATGAGTAAGCCAGCTGTGCTCAAGTGCAACATCGCCACAGAACGGAGGTGCTGTATATTAACCACGCAATATTTGATTGGACCTCATTTGGCTGATCATATGTCTGATAGACGAGTACCATAAACCTGAAATAACGCTGTTCGTGTATGGAATGGCAAGGCGATGTGGCAAGCCGCATTAAGAAAAAGTATTCTTGAAATTATGAAATACATCAGACCCCTAGATTGAGACAAAAACAGTACCACTCACAACCCCAGCACTGACAAGAATAGTCAATATAGCCGCCCCGGCCTTATCCGCAGCTGTAATCGGCCTGAGGTCAGGACCGTTTGAGCCCGAACCACCACCGTCGTCGATTTTGCCTCCATTGGGGTTGCCCTTGGAGTTTCCTCCAGTTTTGGTTGTAACAGGTCCCTCGGCCGACCGTACGAGGTTATACATGATCATCTGCAAAGAAGACATCTGCGGCCCGACGCCGACCACGCCATCAAAGGAATCTTTGAGCCATGAGAAGCCGCAAGCCGTGCCTGGAGGGCCCTTGAACCCACCAGCAGAAGAGCCCGAGCAACTCGTTGCTGCCTTCTTCCCACTTGACAATAACAGCTTGGTGATGGAATCCGAGGTATACGAGGCGACCTGCGATGTGGCTGCCAGCCATCGGGCGAGATACCCCTTGAAGCTCTGGGCGTCCTGACTGCACTGGCCAGTGGGCTCGCAATACGCTTCGTAAATGACCTCGTTCTGAACAAATGCCTTGTTGACTTCCTCTAACATGCCATCCACACGGGTCTTCCACGTGTCGTTTTCCGTTATGTTGTACATGACAGCGGCCCCGTAGAGAAAGATGCCAGCGTTGTAAGACCACTTCGTGCTGTCGACGGAGCTGGGGCATTTGCCTTCGAAATGGACTCCATCCAGAACCTCATGCTGGCCCGTAATTAGACCGATGTTGTTTTGCCAGTCCCATACCTTCTCGGCCCAGTCTGAGTAGGTGGTATTGCCAGTGTAGCGAGCCAGGCGCGCAGCAACGTTAAAGAAGCACCCGTTCGAGATCGAATTCTTGTAATCGAATCCGGCGTTCCAGGTGAAGATCTGCCACCGCACACCTCCACCGCAATTCCCTTCGTCCCAACGGCTGACGTACTCGTTGAAGACCGCTTGCACTAGAGCGAGCCACTGCGGTTGATCCTCTGGGGGGTTGGGATATTTATGCTCGGCTGCCGACATAGCTGCCATCGCCCAGAACCCTTGGTCGTCATTTCCTTCTGTCAGGGTCTGATTCTTCGGCATGTAGTCATTATCTTCGCCGGCCTGGTGAATTAGAGCTTGCGTAGTAATAGCGTTGTAGGAATCATCCCCCGTGAGCCACCAATAATCAACTAATGTGCCAAACATGGCGCCAGCCTCCCACCCTGAGACATGTTAGAAAAGAAAACACGAGGTCGATGCTCGGTAGGACGTACAGTAATAGGGATCAGGTAGGTTTCCCGGCGTATCACCAGTATTGTTTCCAGTATAATATTTCACTAGCCCGTAGGCTATGGTGCTTGCAGCGCTCTTGATCGAGTCTGAAGGAGGTCAGTCAGATCATGTCATTATGGTAACCGTGACGAACCAACCGTCATTATCCCATGTAATGTCGACAGCATTGGCAGCGGCCGTCAAACTCAGGCCTACGATCACGGCCGGCAGTGCTGGCCTCATCTTGGCTGTTAATTCAGTTGGGTTTACAAGAAGCCAAGACAGAGAGAATACAGCGAAATGAAACCACGGGAAAAAAGAATGCCAGTCAACTTATTGGAAGCTTGGCACCGAAGACGACACACAAGAAGCCGCGAGGTCCGCCAAGATAAGTGGAAGAGTCACTATGTCAAAGAGTACCGTCGAGTGGCTGTGCGGCTACAGGTCCAGTTTCAATTTTCCGTCTCTCCACATCTGACGTTTGCAACCCACCGTACGGTCTCAGATGCAACTTAGCAAACAGATCGACCAATGTATATAAATATATATATATATATATATATATATTATATTGTACTGTATGTCCCTGAAAGCCCCATTTTCATACTAGTCAGGTTCCAAGGTTTCCGACTAGTAAGCACGCCTTACACGTTTCCTGGGCGTCTGGTCAGTCCATCAAGCAAAATACGCAGGCACTCGTCCTGTGACCTTTACCCAAATTTGACTCTACTGCTAATCAATGACTGATATCGTCTCCGGCCGTATTTGTACCCTATCATCTGCCTTGTGCTGATCGACTGTATGTACTGTATTCATCGTTGTACGAAGAATCGGACCGTTGATCAAACATTCGAGTAAGGCTGGCAGCCTGTAGATTGCAATTTGCAAAATCCGGCCCGTAGGCTGGTCTTAGCGTTCTGCGGGTAGTGGGGGGATCTCCGTTTCGATGACGATCCACCCCTATTCCATCGTTCGAGAGATGGCCAATAGACACGCTCCGGGAAGCTCAAATTGGGTCTTTCTGGGTCTTAAACAAGGCAAGCTGTGGAATACTTGCGGAGAGTCTGTCTGTCTGACGCGTCTCAGCACGCGATGCAATGTGGAACAGGGCCGACGGCTATCGTCCGGAACCCAGTTCCTGTGCCGCCGAACCCCCTATCCGTGGCCAATGTCTTTTGTCATGCAACACTGTTGCTGTCTAATCAGCAAAATCGGGGATACTGTTTCGCTCAGGGTCCTTGCAACGGAAACTGCCTCGCTCATCTGGTTAACTTCAGATGGCGCAGCCAAAGGGCGACGAGCTATTCAAGCCGGCCCTGAGCAACATGTCGGTAAAAAGCGCCATAACGGGATCTGTTTCCCCCGAGCCCGTTCCGTGGCCACCGGACGATTGCCCAAAGCACCATACACGAATCTGTTGCTATCGAGGTTTTGTTTTTATTTCTTGGTCAGTTTTCACCACAAACGGCGACCAAGTCAAGGTCAGCACATACGGTTCGTTGACCGAGTCGGCTCCGAAGAACGCGGCGGATTAAGAGGCATCGCCTTTGGGCCCACAATGTCGTTTCCCCGCCGCTCTTATCTCCAGCTCCCTAATCGGATTTGTCGGCCTAGACGCCCTCACAGATTAGCAGAAGTCGAAGAAACTAATTGCTGGTAAGCTGATAATCCCTCCGTTTCAAGTCATACTGTTTCAGTCGCATAATTTGTGTGTGCAGCAGCAATCATGGCCTACCTGGTCTCCCCCGATGACCTCCCGATGCCCGGCCGAGACACGTTTTTCTGGCTGGGTGAGATTAACAAGGCCAGTGCCGTTATCAACTCGGACGAAGGGCTCTTGGATCGAGATGCGGCTCGTCGGATTGCCAGCGGCCTCCAAAAGCTACTGGACTCTGGCAACGAGCCAAACGCTCCCCGCCCAAGCCTCGTGATTACCTTTGAGCCTCTCCTTGTCCAAGCTGCTGGCGTGGAGGCCACTCTCCTCCATGCCGGGCGGTCCAGTCAAGACATGCTCACTACCGTTTCGATGGCAATTCTTCGCGATGCGCTGCTGAAACTCGCATTGCAGCTTCATGACACGACACGACTCCTCGTCGAGATGGCCCAGACTCATGCCGCAACACTAGTCCCGAACTATACCAACGGAGTTGCTGCTCAACCTAACTCCTATGGCCATTACCTGTTGGGCCACATTGCCGGACTCCATCGGGATGCAGAGAGACTGCGGCAGTGTTATGCACGACTGGATCGTTGCGCCATGGGCACCACCGTTCTTAATGGTACAAGTTGGCCGCTGAACCGCGAGCGCATGGCCAAGTACCTCGGTTTCGCAAAGGCCGTCGACAACGCCTATGACGCGGCGCAGATCACCGCTTCAGAGATGCCAGTTGAGCTTGGTGCGATAGCGTCCCAGATCGCCCTCCATGCCGGCGCTTACATCCAGGATGTCATGGCCCAATACTCTCAGCCAAGGCCGTGGATTCTTCTCCAAGAGGGCGGGGATAACACATATGTCTCGAGCGCTATGCCGCAGAAAAGGAACCCCGGCCTGCTCAATAGAATTCGATCGGATGCGTCCCGAGTTGTGAGTCTCGGCGTAGGCCGGGCGATTCAGGGACACAACCTCACCCCGGGTATGGTCGATGCGAAGGACCTGACGGACAACCTTGCTGTACTCAATGGGGCGATAGGGGTGCTCGGGGGCTGGGAACGCATCCTCGACGCACTGGTGATTGACGGAAAACGGTCCTTGGAAGAATTGGATCTGGACTGGACTGCCTCTCAGGAGTTGGCGGATATCCTGATGCGGGAGCACAAGGTGCCATTCCGAGTCGGTCACCACTTTGCTTCAGAAGTGGTTAGATTTGCAAAGAATGCGGACCTGTGCCCGAGCAAGTTCCCCTATGCTGAGGCATCCAGGATATTCGTCGAGACATTGAAACACACGCACCTCGAGGACAGCGGCTATCGATTCTTGAGCGAGGATGAGTTTCGAGAGGCGCTCGATCCTGTCGGGATCGTCAATCGAAGGGCAACCTCTGGCGGTCCACAACCCAAAGAAATAGAACGTATGATCAGCAGCTCAAAGCATATTCTGGAGGATCTCCACAAGTGGGTTCGAGAGCGGCGGTCTTACATCGACGACGCGTTGCACGAGCTGGATGCTACGTTTAAGCTTCTGTAAAACACTTGACTCACCAAGCGCCTCGATGCCACTGTTACAGAGCTCCGGGGTTGAGCTCAAGAGCACATCAAGACTATGCCAGACTCCAGTTTCAATTAGCTTGGTATACGCGACTATGCTCGGTGTGAATAAAGTGCAAGGTCTCGGCCGACAAGTACTGGCTCGTCTGGATCCACGGAGGATTCTACCGCGACTTTGCTCAAAACTCCACTAGCGTCAACGCCGCCATCGTCTCCCTCGAGACCAACAGCCTAGACGTCCTGGCAGACCAAGTCGCCGCCATCGCCTCGCTTGACTACTGCCTCTTGGCCCTCCCCGGCGTCCATCTAAACAACACCCCGGCCAACGAGCTGCAGAATGCGAGGTGGCCGGACCACATGAGTGATGCCGTCGCCGCGCTCAAGGACCTGGACAAGCGCCACCCTATCAACGGAAACTACGTGTTCTCTTGCCACTTAGTTGGTGCCTAGATCTCCTTCTTCGCCGTCTTGGAGACACTTCAGGACCTTACTGTCCCTAAGCCCACAGCCGTTATAGGTATTAGCAGCATCTACGATTACCTGCGCCTCTATGTCACTTACCCTGGCTAGGACTACCTGGTCCCTAAAGCCATGAGGGAGGACCAGCTGACGGAGGCGAGCTTAGCCAAAGTGGACGCCAAGAAGTATACAGCGCTAGGCTTGAAGGCCTTTATTCTGGCGCACAGCGGGGACAACAGACTTGTTCCGTGGGACCAGGCGAAGGCGATGGGGGCCACTTTGGAGAGCCTGCCTGGGTTGAGGAACAAGATGTACTTCATAGAGCTTCCAGGCGCGCGCGACGACATTCGGAAAAATGGCGTGGCGCTGGCAAAAGCTTTTACGGAAACACTGGCTCTTCTGAAAGAGCAGCCTTGAGACGCATCATGGTTCGGGGTCGCTTAAGAGAGAGATGACTAAAAGGCATCGTTGCAGTATTAGCTCCGCGCGTACCTCTCGGTTCTTAGCGATATACCGCGATGATATGGCTTATCAAGATAAATTGAGGGGAGCTTTTGACGACATGAAATGCTTGGAGCGTTCTTTGCCATTATCCAAGCTCTAACTGGGAGTCTCTAATTACCCCTCAAGATCAACGCACAGCACAGACGATTACAAGAGACAAGTACCTGGAATAGTATCGACAGTTACTCACTATTGCTCACTGGTGCTATCTGATTTTCTTTGGCCTCAGCCTAGGATCTCGCAGATATTGAAAAAGGGTAGCTGTGCTATTCGACTACAGAGTGAAGATGAAGAACATTCCCAGACTGTTTATCGAACGGGCTCGATTCATAAATGACATCCTAGATACGCTCGGTAGCCACTTCACGAACCCCCTTCGACGGCCTCTCTCTTCTCCTTCTCCAGATACCACTCCACGGCCCTCCTGATCCCCTCCTCCTCGCTGACCGCGGGCTCCCACCCGAGCCGCTCCCTGGCCTTATCGATGACGTACCACCGGCTCATGACGGAGAACCGCACAACCTGCCTCGTCACGGGCGGCACCTCGCCCCGGAACCAGTAGATCCACTCGAGCGCCCAGACGTACGCCAGCGCGAACGTCGCGCTGACGACCCGGACGTCCTCGGGCCGCGTCGTGTCCCCGGCGGCGCGCCAGGCGGCGCGGCTGAAGTCCCAGAACGGCCGCGGCGCGCCGTTGGTGACGAAAAAGGCCTCGCCCGCGACCCCCTCGGGCGAGGGGGAGAGGAGCTTGCCCGCGGCGGCAAGGTGCGCGTCGGCCGCGTTGCCGGCGTAGGTCGCGCTGAAGAGGTTCGTGTTATGGCCGATCTGGAGCGTGTTGCGGCCCATGCGGAGCGCGCGGACGGTGGCGGGCGTGATGTCGTTGTCGCGCTCGCCGTGGCAGAAGGCCGGGCGGAGGGCGCAGGTGCGCATGCCGGCCGGGTCGTCGTATTCCAGCGTCATCCTTTCCGAGGCGGCCTTTTAGGGGCCGAGTTAGTCCTATCGGTGTATCTCGTTCCTGGTGGTGTCTTGTCTGGGAGAACAATGAAGTGAGGGCCGCAGACAGCTCACCTTGGTTATGGGATAGGCCAGCGTGGCATCCCCCTCCTCGGCGATGGGCCAGGTCTCGTCGGCTCCGTTGATGTCCCGGAACATTTCCTTCTGCACCACGCTCGCACTGCTCGTCGTCACAAAGGCCCTGACGCCGGTCCTCTTGCTCTCGTCCAGCACGTGCCTCGTGCCGTCGACATTGATCGCCCGGACGAATTCGTCCGTCATGATCCTGCGGCCGACCGTCATCATGCCCGCGCAGTGGAAGACGACGGTCGGCCTCACCTCCTTGAAGGTTCGCGCGACGTCGTCCGGCGACGTGATGTCGCCCGCGTGGTACGTCACGCCCGGGAACAGGTTCGTCGTCGGGTTGCGCGAGAAGACGGCGACGCGGGCGTCCAGGTACGCCGCGCGGAGCTTCTCGACGATGTGGCTGCCCAGGAAGCCGCAGCCCCCCGTGACGAGGTAGGTCTCGGAGGTCATTTTCTTTCCGGCGAAGCTTACGCAAAGCCAACAATAGTTAGGGACGCGCTCGGGGCTCCTGCTAGGGCGTGTTGATTCTAGAGGAGCGAGGATGGGTACGAGGACTTGAAGAGAAAGCCAAAAAGGGATGGTATAGAAGCTATGCGAACATTGAAACAATCTGTCAAGACGGTTCTTTATGGCCTTTGCTCCCGCAGGATTTGTGATCAGTGATCACGGATAGCCCGGCCAAAACCTAGGGGCGTCAGCGCGAGCCTAGGGATCTGATATAAGCACTTGGCTATCGAACGTTACGGTGAGATTTGGCGTCTCCTGCGTTACACATGCATCTACCCCTTACCACTTACCTCAGTCCTCAAGGCAATATGAGGACACCGTGATTGTAAAAGCAACTGCTGTTCAGTTCTTTGATCGACGAGGAAAAGCTAATCAGGTTCTGGCGGCACAAATATATCTAGCTAATACCACTAGCTTATATCGTTTCAAGACGGCCAGGTTCGCTTCATGATCTTCTTTCTACGTCAGACCTGGCAGCGGGCTGTATCCAACGTCAGCACTAGATTCCGTCCCCCCTTCACTTGTCCCAACCGGGCCGGGGCGGGCAACCTAAGCTTTTCGGGTGCCGGCAATTATTCCCTTTCGTAAGCGCGCTTATCCAGTCGTGTAACGTATATGCCGGAGAGTCCAGCCCGCGCCTACTCCCATCCCCTCAAGCACGCGTGTTGCATCTTCCTGCTCTCACATGATGGGCTCTACTTTTGACTAAGCGGCATTCCTATTCTTATGTAGTGAGGGGTCCGGACCAGGAAGCTTGTTTAGTAACCCGCGAGACGCGACATGGCTGCATCCGATTCCCAACAGCCGCATCAAGGGAATCCCTGTCCGCTAAGAACTTAAGATGATGTTCAGAAGTCTTTCCAATGTATCGATATCCGACAAGGCTCGCGGAAGTCGTTTTCTATCGCAATTCGTTCCCGCAAGCCAGGTTGCGCCCGATGTGTCTCACCGCATTCGCACATAATCAGTCGTTCACTGGAGACGAGGACAGACGCTTTGCTACCTCGGGCAGAGCCTGGCAAGAATCAAGAGCCCTATGAACAATCAAACGGAGGGTCGGATGCAAGAGAAAACGCAGCTGGTTGGCTATGTATCAACAACCCTTCCATCTACAAAAGCCCCTCCACCTCAACATGTCCACCCCAGGCCCATCCATCCCCCGTGCCGAGAGTGGCGATGCATATCCGACGACGATCCCCGTTCCTTCCATTTCTCTTTCGATGTTTTTTTTGAACCTCGTGAACTTCGCTGCCGTCCCCCAAAAGACCACGCCTCGCCAGTTCCTCCGACTCGCGAAAAGCATCGCAATCCTAAACTCCGGCAAAAGAAATTCCCTGCACGCATGCGACGACCTTTGGTGACTAAGAGTACGAAAAAACAAGTCGTCGGACTTCTCGTCTATCGCCCTTGCCCTTGGCTTCCTGATCCAAAATCCGGTTCCGGGTGGGGTGGTTTCTTATCCTTTCTGGCCTTGATGACGAACTCGGCCATGATCTGGATATGGTCCGCGGGGAAGTGATAGTTAGGGAACGCTGGCACTCGCTTGAGGTATTCGGCATCGGGCGGGCCCAGGATGTCCACCACTTCGAGGGTGTTGGTCGAGTACCACAAGTAATCGATGACGTCGGAGAACCCGGGAGTGTAGTTGGTGAAAGGCATCTCGTCGGGGGTGTTCTTGATGTGCGCGTAGGCGTCCCGCAAGCTGAAAGGGTGTTCGATGCCGTCTCGAGTGAAGCTACCGTACTGGAAGCTTGACAACTCTTGGTGGTTGGGCGGGACACGTCCCATGGACAACAGCTCGTAGACCGAGCTGTCTTCCGTCGAGTTGAAATCTCCACACACCAGCAGGGGAATATCGGTGTTGTTTCGGTATTCTTGACTGGGACCCGGCTCCTTGGCCGGTGGGGGCGGCTCCTCCCCGTCCTTGCCAGTAGCAGAGAAGGTAATGGGCTTCTTGTCCTTGAGTGCCGGCCAGCGAACGTACTTCTCGGCGAGCTTCGTAATCTGTTCCATCAGGATGCCGGTCTGTATAAGCTTGACGTCCGCCAAGACCGACTCCCACGCCAGATGTCCGTTGACCAGAATGATGCGCGAGCCTGTGACTCGGCTCTCAAGGAACACAACGACAGCGATGTTGTCCTTCGGCATGACGCGGTTGAAGACATCGTGCTGGTTCTTCATGTCCGGGCGGTTGATGGCGATGGCGGCGAATTCTATGACCTGCTTGTCGAGCAGAATCCACTTGCTGGCCTTGTAGAACGTCGCGCAACCATCGACTCCCTGAGCATCCTTTTCGGCCATCGTCTTCGCTCGCGTCTTCGGCCAGTGCACGCCCTTGTAATCCATTTGAGCCAACTCTGGGCTGAACTCTTCCTTGAACGCTTCGGTCGAGATCTCTTGCAAGCACAGGAGATCGGCGTCCTTCTCGCGCAACTCGTCAAATATGCAAGCCTTTCTGTATTCCCAGTTCAAAGCACCCGTCGGCGTGTATCCGTACGTTTGGGGCGTCGCATACTTGTCGCACAGGACGTTCCAAGAGAAAACTTTGACTTTTTCCAGCGCAGGAGATACATCTTCTTGAACAGTGATATACTTTCGGGGCGAGGGTGGCAGTGGCACTGCGACAAATTAGCGAGCGGTGATACAACGGGTGGTCGTAGGCGCATACCTGGAGCTTGCTCCTTGAGGAGGTTGATCAAGCTCTTTGTGCCCTTCTCCATGATTTCTTGCTTCATGTCCGGGTCAAGAGGGTTGCCCTCGATGCCTAGAACGTCCAACAGGTGTAGAGAGCCCAGTTCGAAGGGAAGGGTATGGATCTGGTTGTCGAAGAGGAGTAGCTGATTGAGATAGGTGCACATGCCAAGTTCGGCGGGAAGTTCCTTGATCTGATTGAATGACACATTGAGGTAACGTAGCTGGCGCAACTGACCAATGGCCGGAGGTAGGGTCTGTAGCCTATTGGAGGCAATGAAGAGGTCGTGGAGGAACTGGTAGCGGAAGAGAGCCGGAGCGAGGTTCCGGAGACCCTGGCCGCTTAGGTCCATGTTGTGCCAGTTTTGCCGTTCTTTGGCATTCTTCTCCACGCTGTATGGTCGTCTCCTGTCGTCCGCATCATCATCGCCATTCTTGCCCGAACTGGGAGGAGGTCCCGCGATGCCACGGTTCTCCGAGGCCTTGAGCCTGGCGTAGTAGTGCGGCTGATTTTGTTCGGTCATGGCACGGTGGGCTTGCTTGGACTCCTCGTAGAGCCGCAGCTGCTCAGCCCAGTGTTCGGTGATCTGCTGTGCCTGGCCGCCCCGCGTCGCGCCTCCTTGACCGTTCTGCAGGCCATTGGCGCTGAATGGACTAGAGTTCCCCATTACACCGGAGGAAAAGGCGGAGTGGTGGCCCATGACGCCGCCATTGCCATTGTGTGCAGCATGTTCGGCCTGGGCAGCTTGATGGTGCTGAAGGTGAGTCTGGTGATGTTGTTGCTGTTGCTGTTGGTAGTTGTACAGCATAGGGATCCCCCGGCCGCCGGGGCCCCCATTGATGCGGGAGTTGTGGCCCTGCTGGTGATTCTGGGAGAACATCCCTAGCAGATTGGCCCGTGAGTTCGGGGTGGATGACGGGTTTGGAGAGTCTTTCGTGACGAATCGGCTCAGGAGCGTGTTGAGTAGTACGGTATCGGTGGCGGCGAGTTCTTTCGATAAGAGGGGGTTGAGGTAGAGATCTCCGACAGGGTGGTCCAGATAGTGAGTACTATCGGCCATCTACCTGTGATTCGTGGTTGGGTGTGGGGGTGCCTCAGACTTAAGATGCAGGCGAGAGGTAGGCACCGGGTGCGCAGCAGCAACTTATGTGAGATTGGGAACGAGGGAAAGCCAGGGTAGCTCGCGTTTGCGCATGGGATTCGAAGACGGGGTCCAGTTGCATCGAGTATTGATTTGGACAATGGAGAGTCCCGGTAGCGCAATGAGCTTGTGCTATCCTCGGGCGCCCATGAACCGCGTCGAAGATGCGAGAATACGTCGGGTCTCGTGTCTCGTGCGTGCGTGGAACGCGTGAGATTTTTCCTCGATCTGAGGATGTATTCGGTTAGGAGGGGTCTAGCATTGGGTTAGATGGAGGTCGTCGTGTCGAGTTCAATGGGGGTGGCGGCGTACGTTGAGGAGGGCAAAAGCTGTCCAATGATGTCGGGACGGGCTGAATGCGGTAGAGGAGTGTCTGGATAAGAATATGTCTTGTCAGTGAGGCCAGGTTGGAGGAGTAAGACATGAAGATGGGGCCAGGTCAAAGGAGCAAAGGGAGGAGTACGAGTAGGGGCTGGCTGGGGTTCGAGTCGCGACAAAGGTAGAGGCTCGGCTTGAGCAGCGCACCCCTGGCAACCCCCAGGGAGGGCGGGGAATGAGCGGATGACATACCGTAACGAACGGGTGCAGTGCGAAGTTTTGTGATATCTCTGAAGCAGCCAATGAATACTGGGAGTGAAAAATGCGGTCGGAGATGCAGATGATCCAAAGACTGAGCCGTGGGTGGGCGTGCGGGATTGACTCGATCCTGACGATAGACCAGATACAGGACAACACGCCTGGCGGGAGGTGCAAGCTCTAATGCGGTCACGTGATGGTGAAAGCTGCACGGGTCACACCGCTAGACTAGCCAATCGGATCTGAACGTGACTTGGCGCGTGACTTGAAGGGGGATAAACAGTGCGGTACAATGTTGGATCTGATATTTGACACGGCTCAAGTGTTGCGGTTTTGCATCTAATAATGTTGAGGTGAGGATAATATAGGGAAAGATAGCTTTCGTTCGTCATTCTTGTGCCAGCTTCAGATTGGATTATACCGGATTGTGGGTTCTTATAGCTATTCATAAGAAGATAAGGCATGGGTGAACCACCGAGGGAGCTCTAGGGTGAATCAATGCGCTAATGGCGACAGATTAATTAGAAAGATAAAACGTAGTGAGTTTATCGCCGCACTAAACCCACGGCTGCTGGCATTAAGCTTATATTGAACTCCTTCTGCGGGGGAACCAATCCGTATTGACTTGATACTTCTAGTTCGGCATCCAGGCCACACACTGCTGTCTTCTCTGTATGCCGCTTACTGTCCGCCAAGGCAGACTGGCAACTGTGCGGAAATGCAACCTCAATGCACGCTGACAGCGGCGAACTCAGGAGATGAAAATCATTGGCCGCCGGTTTACCGAGATAGCCGCTGTGAAGGCTGCGAGGCCAACCAGTCAAAGTCGATGTTGAACAGACACCAAGCCATGCAATGCAAATCAGCCCAACAACGGTGCAGTCAGCCTGACACGTGGTCATGGAAAGCAGCAACATATCCAAGACCGTCGCGCCAGCCTGATTCTTGATAAGTTTTTACTATGATGCAGCCCGTTCTTCAAGTCTGACAACGACCTTCTTTCTTGTTCAACTTATCTTCATACCACCTGACCATGGCTGAGCCCGTTGGTATCACCGGCACTGCTGCAGGACTCGTCTCGCTGGGACTGCAGCTCTATGGCGAGATTTCGAAATACCTCAGCGCTGTCAAGGGCAGGCAGAAAGACCTCGACCGCGCGAGGAGACATCACCAAACCTTGCAGATGTGCGTAGACGCCATTGCCGCCGCGACGTCTTCATCGAGGGGAAACAATGCGCAGACAGACGCCGCCCTGAGCGCATGCGTCCTGTCCTGCGAGAGCGAGTTGAGGGCATTGGAGGCTCTGGTCGCTCGTTTGCAGGGACCTTCGACCCCGGCTGATGGCGTGCTATCGGCCAAGCTCAGAGAAAAGGGGAGGCAGTACGCCTTCCCGTTCCACCGGGAGAGCATTATCGAGCTCGAGAGGACGTTGGAGTCTACGAACGGGGTTTTGCAGACGGCGTTGCAAACCCTTGGCTTGTAGGTTCTTCCTTAGAATGCCTGGTTGAGGTTCATGACAAGTGCTGACGGCTATTATTTCAATAGAGATGCGGTCTCAAGCATCAGGTCAGATCTTGAACTTGTTCAGATCACTCAAGAAGACATCCGCACCAATGTCAGCAGCATGGCACAGTCCGTCAACGATGTGTTTACCACTGTCAGTCGGATAGAACAAATCGGCCCTAGCATCAACGCCCAGGTAATAGCCAGCACGTCAGCAATGATGGTTCAGCAGTCCGAGCCCTGGTCACGAACAACGGAAATCTCAACAAGAACCGAAGAGAACACAAAAGAAATCCTGCAGGAATTTTCCCTCTTTCGTAATCAACAGAACAGGTTCGAAGAGATTCTGACGGAAATGGCGAGGGGATCCGCCAACCACAGAGCTCGAGATGTCGAAACCGCAAGGCTGATTGCCAAACCTGCTGACCTCAAGACCATGTGCGACGCCATCCTCCAACCTCAAGCGCAAATCGAACGCATTGCGACATCGGGTATCCCTATCATGAATGACAGGCTCTGCCCTTGTGTCAGGCGTCGGTCATTGCAGCGCGCGGAAAGTACTTGGGGCCCGATATTCTATACTAAACTGCGGAGATTGACCATGCACCACCTGCCTGGATGTCCTTGGCAGACTCTTACACCTACGGAATGCCAGCAAATTCGAGCTTTTGGATTCAGAATTTATAAGATAGGGTCCCTGTTGGAGGATGCCATTCGGTTATCATGCTCTCTTAGCTTCGGGGCTGGGGGGTTAAGTATCAACCATGGCATTGATCGGATTGCAACAGTCAGTGACGATCGTTCTCCCGTATTCAAAATCCAGGAAATTATTGTCAATTGCCTCGAGAAAAAGATTTTGGACTTCAGAGAGAAGAAAAAGTTCGCCGAGGAGTGCTTCAAAAGCATACTCTGGTGTTATTCCGAGAAACTTGCTTGCCCGTCTGACGTAGATGGGGATGGCGCAACCTTGGCTATGAGACTAATGCATAACATCGTTCCTGGCTTACCTGGCGTACGTTATGAGAGAACCCCAAACAATATGTTTCTTGTTGCTAATTTAATTCATCAAAGAATGAATTCTTTTCAGAATGGATAGAGATAGTAGCCATGGTGGCATTACGCTTAATGCAAGTGAATGTACCCTTGGCGGGAGACGCCTCTGCGCTCGAGTGAGATTTCCGATTCTTTTTCCCCCTCCGGTTAATTTTTAATTAGTAAACAAACAGCTTATTTCTCCTCCCTACTAACTTACTCAGATTTATACACTGGATCGTTTTACTTGATACTCCGGTGCGGATAACAGATGCATTCCGTTCGTTTGTCCAAATTTGGACTTCCGCCACTGAGTTCATCCCTCCCGCTCGTTTTAATTGGCTTGTAACGGCTTCGACTCAAATCAAAGTCATGGCTGACGCGCGAAATGCATTTTGTTTTGCCAATGGTAGGTCGAGTAATAGTTGGCTCTGTAGCCATACGCTGCCGTTGCTAACACTACATTTGGCTTTTCAGTCTTAGAATGTGGTTCGCTCTCATTGAGCATTCTACGGGCAGATGAACGAGCCGTTTCCCAAAACCTGGAAACATACCCATATACCTCTAAAGAAGTCAATTCTTTGGGGCAAACGCCTTGCCATATCGCCGTTGCGGTAGGCAACTTGCGGATCTTGAAGCTCGTTCTCTACACTAATAGCTCAGACGCTCTCAACGCACGAGACAACTCTGGGCACTATCCTGTCGACTATGCTATTGCTAGTCATGCCCATCAAGTCTGTGCTAAAAGCCAAGAGTCTAGCGTATGCAACGGCTGCAAGGTCCTAGAGATGGTGCTTAATGCGAATTGTGCACTGTATACTCACACTCTTCATCGCGCCTTGTGGATGGAAGATCTCGCAAAATCGACCAGAAAGACCATCATCGGCCACCTTCGAACCAGGAGAGAAGGATTGAAAGCCCGGGCACTAAGTTACCTGTCTACCGATGAGGCCAGCAGCCTCGGCATATGCCGCTCAATGGTCTTGGACAAGAATGCAGGACGGGTGCAAAGACATCTCGATGCTCGCTCTTGCCCTGTACCGAATCACCTAAGAGTATACCCTAAAGGCATGGAAGAATCCTATTATTATACTGATAGCCCAGTATATGGCTTGATCTACGAAAAGGATGTGGCTGCATTTGCTTGGTCACAAGGGTTCAAGGACATCGCGATTCAGCCTGACGATGTAAACCATTACCCGGAGCTGATGCGAAATCCGAAATCCCTACGAGAAATGGCCCTGTACCTCATATGGCTGAATCATCACTCGAAAACCTCTACAATCGAATTGGGACACGACTTTATGAGTTTATTAGGTGCCAACTTGAACTTGTATAAGAACGAAGCATTTACGCTACCACGAAAGCTCTCGAACACGGTATTCTCTGAATCAGTAACAGACCGCTGTTCATGCTACTGTTCTCAAAGTGGATGCACCCCGGTTGAGGTTTTCCTACGCCAAGCAATCGAACGCATGCCGGGGTTGATATGCTGTATACCATGGAAGAGAGAAATAGATCCTACCACCGTGGATCCAAGTCGGTACAGTGAAACAGGTCGGCGTGCTTTTCATACTATTCGTAGACTCATTGGTCGGAAACAGTATCGAAGTGAACAGTACGCTTGGTTACATCAGGCAGTCTTGCGGCAACTGACATTCACTGTTCTCGGCCTCACGCACACCTGCTGCGGTCGTGGATTTTGGAGCCCATGGGGAAGAGGACTCGATGATGAAGATTCTGAAGAGATTCATGAGGAAGAACGAGAAAAGCTGCAGTTATTGGAAAATCTCATGGTTGAGTTCACGCAAGAGTGCGGAAGCAACGCGAGGCTACTGACGTATCTCCAAGACAGATGGACCCCGAGAATTCAATCGGTGATGCGAGACTTGGCTTCGAGAAGGCTCAGTCAAGCTGAACGTCAGGCAGCGGAAGATGTAGGTGTTACATGGGGCCACGATGAACCTACTAATTCGGGCAACGACCGCTCGATGGAGGAGTACATGTATATGCTGCGTCAGATTGTTCCTGAGCACGAAATTTCCTTGCCGCCAGGCCTGCAACTTTGATTTTCGGTTAGTATTTATAGTAAAAGAACCGGTGTCTGTTTGTCTGCAATGGTAGTTACAACTATAAATATGCACTTAATATCTGTAATATAAGTCAAAGCACCCACTTTCCGATCACCCCCACATTGCGATCATGCATATCCACCTCATATCCACCCCCAGCCACCACTAACCACTATATATATACTATCACCACTTTTACAGTTCTTATCTAAATAACTTTATTTTTTTAGTATCTATTCTTTATTACCCTATAGTTAAATATACTAAGTTAAAGATTACCTAGGTAATAAATACTATTACTGCTAGTAGCAGTATATACTAAGTATCTAAGACCTATAGTATCTTATTTATTACCCTCTAGAACTATCTATTTAGCACCTAAAAGAGGGCTAATGCCTTTAAGGACCTCTAGTGACTACTAGCTACCTAGGAGGCTAGCCTAGCTAGTTAAGTAACTACTTAGGCTAACCTTAGGCTACTACTAACCTATTAATATAGCCTTTCTACTAGCTATTATAGATCTAATAGGAAAAGCAAGGCTATAATAGGCAATATAAAGTAATATAGTGCAAAGGTAAAGTGTAATAGTAAAGTAGTAAAATAAAATAAGTAATAATAAAGAGCTAAATAAATAACATAGGACAAAAGCTAGGTATAAGTATAGGTTATTTATTAAGGTTACTTTCTTTATAAGAAGAAATAGGTAATAGGATATATACCCCTAGGTATATACCTAGATATATACTAATAAGGTAATCCTATATCTTACTTATTTATTTACTATATAAGGCACTTATCTTATAATAAGTGCCTTTTTTCTAAAGGACTTTATCTTTTTTACTAAAAAAATATACTAAATAGTAGTATATATAAATATAAAGTATAAAATTACCTTTTTTTATATAATAACCTTATTACTTATTATTTCTAAAGTTCTATTAAGATTATTTAGCCTTTAGTAGTGCCTAGGCTAAGTTATTATTATTAGTGTTATAGTAGTATTTATTAGCTTAGTTACCTTAGGTTATTAAGGTAGTAACCTTAGGCTAAGTAGCTAAGACCTAAAGGTTAACTATAGCCTTTTATTTATTAAGCTTAGTAGCTATTTAATTAACCTTATCTATTAACTCCTTAAATAGCTACCTTTAAAAGTAGTTAGTATATTAAGGTTATTAAACTTCTTATTAAAGAGTATAACTTTAGTGTTTATTTAGTCTACTTACTTTTAAGTTCCTTAAGGTACTTCTTTTACTTATATACTTTATTAGCCTTTTTATAAAGTTCTCTATAATATTATTAATATCTATATTAAAGTATTAGTTTTTTTATAATATCCTTAGTAAGTTTAGTAGCTATATTAGCCTTAGTATTATATTTATTAATATTATTTTATAGCTATTAACTATATTAGCTAGCTTAGTAATATTCTCCTTAAGCTTAGTAATAGTGTATAGCTACTTTCTTAGCTAGTTAAAGTAATAAATCTCTAAGATAAAGATCTTATTAAGACATTAGATTAAAAGAAGTATACTTATAACCTTTAAATTAGATTAGCTAGGTTAATAAAGAAAATAAAGCTAATAAGTGTAGTATAGCTAAGAATATTACCTATATAAGGCTTACTCTTTTTATACTTAGTTAAATAGTATTTATTAAAGTAGTAATTTTATAATAAAAGTATATATCTAATATAAGTAATAATTACTATAATACTATAAAGTTACCTTATTACTAAGTGTAAAAAGCTTTAACTTAAGCTATAGTCTCTTTATAAAGCTATTTATTACTACTTTTATAAAAGGTGTCCTTTAAGTAATAAAGGCCTCCTTATAATAAAGATAACTAGCTTTAAGCTATAGCTTTTTTACTTTATAAAGGTATAAGGTTTATATACTTAGTTATTAGTATTATTAGCTTCTTTAGTAGTAATAGCTTTAGTATTAGCCTTATAACTTAGATTTATTTAAGACTTACTTATTAGTAAGTTTATAACTAAATAGCTTAGTTATTTTCCTTATATAGTTATTAATTTCCTCTAGGGTAATAATTACTACTAACTTCTTATATATAGTAGTAGGCTTCTTTAATTCTCCTATATTATTATACTTTCTTATTTCCTTAGTAAGCTTTATAGCTACTTTTATAGTATTAAAAAGTTTTCTTATAGTAGTAACTTTATCTTAAAGTTACTACTAGATCTTATTAAAAATAAGCTATCTTTATTACTTATAGTTCTTAAGTAAAGGCTTTTACTATTTAATATATTCTATAGCCTTATTAGTGTTCTTTATTATATTCTTAGGTAAAGAAATATTATTACTTTTAATACTAAAAATATTAGAGTTTATACCTTTATTATTATTATTATTATTCTTATTAATATTATTATTATTCTTAGTAGCCTCTTCTTTATCTTAGGACTAAGGGGCTAATTAGTTAATAACTATAAAAGATAACTTAAAAATAAATCTAGGCTTATTAGCTAAGGTAGTAGTAACCTTATTAGGCTAATAGGTTTACTTATTAGGCTAATTTACCTTAAGGCTAGTAATATAAAGAGGGTTATTTTTATTAAAGTACTAGTTAAGGTTAATAGTGTCTAGGTTTAAGGGATTATTATTGCCTAGGATAAGGCTAAATTAAATTAAGGCGCTTATAGTAGCTTGTTTTTTTTCTTGTTTAGGGGGTAGAAGTTTATAAAGAGAAAAAGAAAAAGAATATAAGAAAAAGATATATTATTACTATAAGAATATTAATAAGTTATAGTTAATAATAGTAATAATATAGTAAAGTTAGTAATAGTAATAAAAAAGTAGTAGGTTTAGTAAGTTAAAAATAAAAAAACTATAGTTATAAGTAAGTAGGTTAATTTATTTTATTATTATTATTAGTAACTATAGGTAAAGAAAGTATAGTTAGTTATTTTAAGTAAAACCTTTTTCTGTTATTTTTAAGATATTAAGCTATATAAATATTTTTATTATCTACTATATAACTATATATTTTAATAAAAGGAAGGTATTAGTTATCTTTAAGTTATTATTATTCTTATTAAAAGAAAATTAAGAAACAAGGTTATTATTAAGAATAGAGGTATAAGGCTAAGTTTCTTTCTATATTATTATAAAGTATTATAACTATTTTAGTGCTAACTATAGTAGTGTCTATAAGAAATCTACTAATATAGGCTTTTAGCTTTATTTCTTTATATACTTTATTACCTAATTAATAAGGTTAGCCTTCTTAAAGTTAGTTATAACGTTACTAATATTAGGTATAAAGTTCTTATAGAGTTCCTATATATTAAATACTAATAAGTACTTCTTTTACTTAATAAGATACTTAACTAATAGGTAGTTCTTTTACTAGTTAACTCTATAGTTTATAATTCTTTTAACTTTAAATTCCTTTATACTGTCTACCTTTACTAGCTCTAGAGGTAATTACTATTTTTTAAAAAGGTTATTACTAGTTAGTGCTTTCTATAGCTAATATAGCTTTTCTACTAGCTATTATAGATTTAATAGAAGAAGTAAAGCTATAATAAGTAATATAAAGTAATATAGTATAAAGGTAAAGTATAACAGTAAAGTAATAAAATAAGGTAAATAATAATAAGAAGCTAAATAAATAATATAGAATAAAAGCTAAGTATTAGTATAGGTTATTTATTAAGGTTACTCTTCCTTATAGGAGAAAATAAGTAATAAAATATATACCCCTAGGTATATACCTAGATATATACTAATAAAGTAATCCTATATTCTACTTAT